TTTACAAGTGATTTGCATACTTCTTTTTTTCCCCATAAGACGGTTACCACCAAGAGTGAGATGCAGTTCTAGCAATCTAATAATTCCCAAAGTTTTACAACTTGAGGACATCTAAAATAAAGAGTCAATAGAAAAGCAAACTGGCCTCTAGTGAGGCTATCGGACCCTGGGACAAGAAACAACACCAGACTTCTATATGACCACACACTGGTTTTTCAAATATACCACACTGTTGTCTTAACTATTTAATCAATTCTATCGATCTTGTTACCTTAACACTTTAAAGGTATGCTACTCCTAGGAGGAAACAACTGTTCTCAATCCAGACTAGTTATGCTAGAGCTCCATCCAGATTAACCCACTGTAAATCCTCATAATTTGAAAATGCATTTAATACTCCATAAACCCAGGACCACCTGTATTTTGCATATGACCTAAAATTCCTTTACAAAAAACCAAATCTTCTGTCACATCTTGAAAGAAGGCCACTGTAAAGCAACCACTGTTTTACAATTGTTACATTATACTCAAATATCTTTAAAAGCAGAAAAACTTGGGTTAACCAGCTTGTTTAAAGCAGTTAGAGAGTCATAAAATGTAAACAGTATTCTTTAAAAAGGAGGCTTAAGAGAACAGAGTACCTTTCTCACCAAGGGTGACTATTTTGTGTTTAATTCTAAGAAGTCAGCATGAAGATTACACTCTTAACAAGATTTCACTTCCAATTACATGGGGTGCAAGTGTGAAAGACTGCTCTGTCATGATAAAGCACATCCTGAGTGGCTTCACCAAGTATGAGGAGACTACGATACTAGTATGAACAATGACTAACAATGACTAAGCAGGGGGCTTGTGAGTGGGAGCTCACACTGCCCGGCTGAGTCTGCAGAAACAAAGGCTAGCTAGGGAACTGCGGGCAGATGAGGCCAGAGTGTCAATTAGAGGTTCATCCTCTAGGGGAAAAAGTAAATTAGAGAGTGACTAAGAAAGTAAAGCTTAAAGCGACACTTCAAAGTACTTACAAATTGACTTAAAAAACCAAACCAAACCATGTTACTTCTAATTGTCTTTTCAATTAGAAAACTGTGGAAACATAGGTACTTAAGATAAAATAACTACTATATAAAGTTGGCCAAATAGTTATTCTCATACAGAAAACTTAATTAGCTTGGCTGTGTACTAAATTTAAGACCTGAGTTGCACAGTCTTGGCATACTTTACTTGGTGAATCCTCAAAGGCACCATGGAACATAACATACTTTCTAAAATCTAGGATACATTGTTTCACATTTTCATATTTCTCAGGTCACAATGTAACTTTATAATAGGTATGAACATAAAAAGCTGTTATTAAATACAGGATCACAATTAGTAATATCTAAAAATTAAGAAAATATGGTGAGGCTGAAAGAGGTGGAGGTAAGTATTTGCTGGGAAGTTGGGAAGGGAACTTTCTGGGGTGATGGTCCTGTTCTCCAAATCTTGATAGGGGTTTAGGTTACACAAATGGCTCAGTAAGTGTTTGTTTAAAATTTGTGCATTTCGTTATATGTAAATTTTGCTTCAAAAGAAAGATGAAGGGCTGGCCCGGTGGCGCACTGGAGAGTGCGCCGCTTGGGAGCATGGCGGCGCTCCCGCCAAGGGTTCGGATCCCATGTGGAGACCGGTTCCCGCTCACTGGCTGAGCACGGTGCGGGCGCAACACCGAGGGTTGCGATCCCGTTACCGGTCGGTAAAAAAAAGACAAAAAGGAAAAAAAAAAAAAAAAGAAAGATGAAAATACTGATCTTTAGTCAATACTATATATGTTGATGTATTTAGGGGAATGTGCACTAATCTCTACAATTTAACTTGAAATGCATCAAATCAAATGAAGGGATTAACAGTCCACTGCAGTGGTTTGAAAATTAAACTTAAAAAAATTTGAAGCAATCACAGAAAGAAGCATTTATCTAAACTTAAGCAGAGCTTCCTGTATATACAGCTGCCATTGGCCCCCTCCCAGGGAATTTTTCCTGACTGGGAAAAAATTGGCCCTTAGCACCAGAGTAGTGTGAAGCCAGCTGTCCACCAGCATCAAAATGCCCAAAAGAACCCTCCATACTTTCCCACTGAAGCCCTAAACTCCACTGTATCACCCTCCCCTCCCTTTTGTTAAGGTTAGTATATAAACCTTTTATTTCTTAGCAAGTTACTAAGTATGTGTGTGAATAAACCATTTTTTTTCCTCCTGTCTATTGTCAATTAATTTGCAGGCCCCCAACCACTGGACCAAGTTGGAAGAGGAAAAATTTTCCTCCCAACACAAACAATAAGACGAACTGATGAGTGAACAAAAGGATAAACAGATCAATAGATATGATGAAGCAAGTACAGTAAAAGATTAATGGTAGAATCTAGGTGGTAGATATGTAGGCATTCCCTGCAAAATTCTTCCAACTTTGTTTTACATCTGAAAAATTCATAACAAAACACTGGAAGAAGTTAACAATTAATAAAAGAACAGAAGAAAACAAACATGGTGCTTAATGACTGCTATTTTGTGCCCAAGAAGAGATAACCTGGCTACTAGAAGACTTACCTCATAGATCCAAGCCTGCTAATTGATGACAAACTTCAGTCTAAAATGCTGTTGACCATCTAATTACAAGTGCTAGTGTCTATCATGGTCCCTTTTGGTAATAAAAGTAAATTAGTACCCACTAACATTTTATTCTATCAAATAGCAGTCATCCCTCCGTAAGTGTTTCTTGCTTTCAGACATTCCCAAAAGTCCTCACCAAAAATGGTCATCCAAGCTTCCAAACCACCCAATATAAGAGGAGAGATACGAGTCCTCCACCCTCTGTTGGACTGAATTTCCAACACCTTCATGGTGGATGGACTACAGTATGGCCCCAATTGTTTCATGCCTCACTTTGTAGTGTCTCCCACACTGACTCTGGCCTTGGTTGGCAATGAGACAACAGCAAATGTGACACAAGCAGAAGCCTGAACAATGCTCACACACTGGAGCCTGCCTGCTTGCTGCTCTTGGAACCCTGCCACCACGTTAAAAGCTAGGGCTAGTCTGCTGTAGAATGAGAGGACATATGAAGAAACCAAGTCACCCCAGCCAATAGTCAGCCAGTTGCTAGCTGACCCACAACGGACCACAGATGCAGGACTGAGCCCCAGATGAGGCTGCTGAGCCTGGCCCAGATCAGCAGAACTGCCCAACTGGGCCCAACCCAATTGCTGGGAAACCTGCAGAACCATGCTGTTCTGAGCCACAGACAGGCTGGTTTGTTGCTTAGGAAATGCTAAATAACTCCTTTACATAACTGCTTGGGGCTAAACAATGCTAGAAGAAAATCCACACAACACTGCAGACTAACTCTCCTAAAACCTCCTATCTGGCCACCCCTTCCCCTTCTTATTAGATACCAAAATTTCTAATTCCTAGAAGAGAGAAATCATTAGATGAGAACCTTCTCAATCCCCAGCTCCCCACGCCTACTTACCCGCACTGGTACTCATCTGCCGTCTCGGCCCTGGCACTGTAGAAGAGTCACATGTGCCTTGCAACCCCACTGTACCCAGACGCCCAAATACCTGTGCTCTGGATCTCAGTTCTCTCCTTCCTGTTCCCATCCCCAGCCACTCCTATAGTACTGTCTCCCTGTCATCAGCATTTAATCTTGCCCACATGAAAAACACCACCAATAACAACAAAAATCCTGTCCATCTCTTACCACCACTCAACTACTGCTCTTTTCACTTTTTCAAACTATTTGAAAGCAGTAGATCTACATTTCATTTTTTGACTTTTTTTTTAAACCTTTTCCCCTCCCCTTCTTTCTCAGCTGTCATCTGGCCATCACCTCTTCCCCATCCCCAGTCCACTTGGCCCACTCCCACCACCCTCCTGCTCTCTCTTGCTGAACCCAATGCACCTGTTTCTGTGTGGCTCACTAATCGCAATGGACCTGGTAGGCTGACCACTCCCTCTTCCAGGACCCACCTCTCTGCCCTGGGTTACTGTGTCTCCACACCCTCCTGACTCCTTTTGCCTCTATGTGGGTTGCTTCAGCCTTCTTTGTGGCTCTTCTTCCTCTGCCTGACCTTTGAATGTTGCTTTTCCTCGGAATTCCACACTTTGTCTTCTCTCTCAACATGTTCTTCTATAGCTCCTGTCACCATGAGTGCTGCCAACTCCTCAGATCTGCATTTGTAGCATGGATCTCTGTCTCCTGAGCTCCACGTCCACACATCCAAGAGCCTAAAGCACAGCTCCACTTAGAGGAGCCACAGGCACCTCAAATGCAATGTGTTCTAAAACAAACTCATTAACCTCCACTCCGAATCTGTTCCTCTTCCCATGTTCCATGTCAGCAGATATCCTTATTTCATCAATAACTCCTTTCTTAGATTGTCTTTCTTGGGCATGTAAATCAAGAAATCCTGGTAAGTCTTTCTCCTAAACTGAACACCATTTAAACTTACCCTCTTCTCTACCGGAAGTCACCACCATCTCTGGCCTAGATAACTGAACAGCCTCCTACCTATTTCATTCAGTCCATTTTTCACACTGTGATCAAAGTGATCTTTTTAATGTGCAAATCTAAACATGTCCTGTTGTGGCTATTGTTTTATTCAGCTATAAATCTTTAGTACTTAGCACACTGTACACAAGGCACATGATAATCAATAAATGTTTATTTAGTAAAAAGAATAAATTACCGAAATGTCCAGTAGGCCTACATTTGAACATGCAAACTAAAGATGTAAGTTTCACAGTTAATTAACATTATAAAATGTGTGAAAAGCCCAATTTGACAACCAAACAGTAACACCAAACTTAAGCAATTTATATAATCTTAGTCTGAAAATAACTGCAAGGTTTACATCGAACTCTTAAAAATTACTACTCTACTCCCTCCCCATCCCCATACAAAAAAGTAATTGCTATACTTTCCAAAAGAACCAAAACCAAGTCTGAACATTTAAAGTTTACTTACGTGCAAAGAATTGACTGGTCCTCACGATCTATAAAACAGAACAAAACAAACAAAAAAAAAAGAAAGTGACCATTTGCCTGGTTTAAAAATATTTGATATAATAAAGTTGCAGTAATAGCCTATAAAATATTAGTAACTCTACTCCTCTCAAGCCAAGTTAATTCCTTTCCAACCTTATTATACAGTCCTAAATCTAATCGAGTTCACTTATTATCTCCCATTATTATGACAGATTCTCTGGGGCAAGTAACAATAACCCAGGCTTACTTCACACATCATTTGCCTAGATGACTTTATGTGCCTAATCAATCTTGACTCTCAAACCCTGCTGATCAAACTCAACCAGGAAGTTTTATAAGTATGTACTTCCCAGAGTGCCACCCTTGCTAAGTCATTCTCAGGAAGGTAGGGGTTGGAAATCCATCTTTAAGTAAGTTCCCCAGGTGATTCTCATGCCTGGCTAGGTTCTGAAACCACTGCCTTTCTGAATGGCTTCAAGAGTGCTCACAACCAGAGAGGAATCATTATTAATTTGATCTTAAAGGAGAAAACAAGTACCAAGCACTGAGTGGACAAGAAGGTTGAAGGAGGATAAACATTTATATAAAGTTTAACCACTGTCTCAAGTCAAAATGTTCTCTATACCAAATATAACAAAAGAATGTACAATGATAAAATTTAATATGATTTTTAAGTTATTAATAATTTAAGGATTCAGCTAAATTTTTCAAATGCAAAGGTGAAATTCAAACCTACATCTAAGCCCATGGACAAAATTACCAGTGTAGGATGTATGATTTCTAGTCACATAAGAGCATTATTATCACTACTTTACAGATGAGAAAATGTTCCTCCCAAGTCATACAACTATGAAGGGCACAGATGCTGGGACGAGAACCCAGGCCCGTCTGCCCTGTCTGTGTGCTCACCACTAAACTAGTTTTCCCTTATGCCGTACTTGCTTTTCTCTGGTGGACACCATCAGGTGCGCAATGAGGATCTCAGAGTGGTTCTCAGACATAAATAACTTTCATGAAAGAGAAATAAACAGTTCATCTACTATATCATACTCTATTTATATGATATTATTAAAATAAATCCATTCACACATTCTATGTATAAACTGAGTTGTACAGAGCATATTACTGCCCTTCCCTCAAGTCTAATTTATTTCTGAGTAGCTCATTGCCACTGTGTTGTCCTTCCTTCTGGCTACCACAGGCAACATTCACAGTACATGGTCAATGTCTGCCTCCTTTATTCATTTACTGTCTCAGGCCACGCCACAACCTTTCTTCCCACATGCTCTTCCCTAGATCCACAGTCACTCGGATACCTCCTTCATAACTTTTTGTACTCAGTTCAGCTTTATCTCCTCTGGGGAAAACTTCCCAGACACTCTCCCTCAGGTTCCTCAATGTTTCCTTCTTTTAGGCATATTTTGGAATTAGACAGACAAACAATATGGCAATAGACCACCCACTAGGATGTACTGCTTGAGACCTCACTGTCTTATTTCTTTATTCCCAGCATCGAGAGTGTAATGAAGACCTGCTGAGAGAAATCCAGTGTTAGGTACCATGCTGGGCACTGGCAAGATAGTGGGGACTGGAACCTTTTGTTCTAGTTCCAGCTCTACCACAAACTATATATTAAAAAATGAGGCATTTATTCCTTGCTATAAAACCATGATTTTACCAAGTCTTTGATTATTCACTCATAATATGAAAGTTCAGACCCCTACCTCTCCTGGTTTGAGCAGTTTCTATAGAATTCCACTACACCAAGTTTTTTATGGCTTTTCTGACAAGTCTTTGATTATTCACTCATAATATGAAAGTTCAGACCCCTAACTCTCCTGGTTTGAGCAGTTTCTATAGAATTCCACTACACCAAGTTTTTTATGGCTTTTCTGAACTGGTTTACACGTTTAAGAGACAAAAACACACAAACATTAAACCAAATTAAATCGCCTCCTAATTCATTGAGATGACTTCCTTCCTGCATCTGTACATCCTATTATCGTCTGGAATTGGAGACCCACACACAACAACCTACCCTTCAAATCTGCTCCATACTTCATTCTCCCATAATTCTTGTCACCGCCACCCGTCAACGACAACAAAAAAAAAACCTCTCTTCTAGCCAGACTCATCCGCTCTTGTTAATTGTCTGTCTGATCTTATACTAACTTTGGACCTCTTTCTTTATCAGTACGATAGGGGAATGGGCTTGACCACCTCCAGGAGTCTATCTAACTCTGTGATAAGTACTCCTCCCCCTTCTGTTTCACTAAACACTCCTCCAACTGGAGCACAACAGTTTATAGTGATCTTTATATTCTAAAAACCTGTAAACGTAACCAGATACAGCCTTATGGTGATATTAAAGGGGAAAATTTTTTACTTTTAAAAATGCAATTGGCTGTCTAGAGAGCAAAGACTCATTTGATACCTTGGTATTTTCCAAAGCACCTTCCAAAAATCATATAAGGAGGCATTCAATAAATCTATGTTGGATTAAATCATATTTTTCAACAGTGAGAAAAGTTTAAAATCAATAATCTCAGCTCTTACCTTAAAAAAAAAAACTAGGAATGAGCAAATTAAACCCAAAGTAAGTAGAAAGAAAAGATAAACAACAGAAATCAATGAAACGGAAAGCAAAAAAAAGAAAAAAGTCAATGAAACCAAATGTTGGCTTCTTGAGCAGATCCATCATATTGATAAACCTCTAGCCAAACTCATCAAGAAAAAGGAGAAAATGAAGCAAATTACTAATATCTGGAATAAGAATGGGAATATCACTATAGATCCCACAGACATTAAAAGGATAATAAGAAAATATTAGGAACCACTTTATGCCAAAATATTTGACATCTAAGATGAAAGGGACAATTTCTTTAAAAGACACAACTGCTAAAGCTCTCAAGAAGAAACAGTAACTGGAATAACCCTGTATCTATTAAAGAAATTGAATTTGTAATTAAAAACCTTCCCTCAAAGAAAACACAGCTTCACTGGTGAATTCTACAAAACATTTAAGGAAGAAATAACACCATTTTCGCACAAGTGAAAATTGAAGAGGAAGAAATATTTCCCAACCCATTCTAAGAGACAAGACTTACCCCTCTATTAAAACTGAAAAATAGGCACTACAATAAAAGAAAACATTTAGATATCTCTTAAGCAAATGTACAAAAATTCTTAACAAAATGTCAGCAAATCAAATCCAGCAATATATAAAAATGATGATACACAGAATGAGCAAGTGGTGCATATCCTGGGAATAAGCTGGCTCAGCATCCAAAAGGTAAACAATCTAATTCCCCATATCAACAGACTAAAGAAGAAAAACCCGATGATCATCTGAATAAATGAAGAAAAAGCACTGGATAAAATTCAACATCATTCATAATTTAAAAATAAAATCTCAGCAAACTAGGAATACAAGGGAGCTTTAATGGTAAAAAACTGAATGCAGTCCTCTAAAATCAAGAACAAGGCAAGGGCCGGCCCGGTGGCTCACTGCGCTAGTGCGCCGCTTGGGAAGCGTGGAGGCGCTCCTGCCGAGGGTTCGGATCCCACGTACAGACCGGTTCCCGCTCACTGGCTGAGCGAGGCGCGGGAGCAACACCGAGGGTTGCGATCCCGTTGCCAGTCCCGGTCCGGTACGGGAGCGACACTGAGGGTTGCGATCCGTTGCCGGACACGGAAAAAAGAAAAAAAAAAAAAAAGAACAAGGCAAGAATGCCTGTTCTCACCAATCTTATCCAACATCACAAAGCAAGTGGGAAAAAAGCATAGAGTGGGAAGGAGAAAATAGCAGTATCTCTATCTGCAGAGGACACAGTTATCTAGACAGAAAGAATCTACAAAAAAACCCAACAACTTCCAGAATAAGTGAGTTTAGCAAGGTTGCAAAAAAGTCAATATATATTTTTAAAATCTTATGTCTAAATATTGATAGTGAAAAACGGAAAATTGAAATTTTATAAGTTCCATTTAAAACTAAAAAACATGCAATGCTCAGTTATACTAAGGTATACGACATACTTAGGTATAAATCTAATGAAGCATGTGCAAGATCTGTATCCTGAAAACTACAAAACACTGAGGAAAGAAATCTAAGACGTATATAAATAGACAAATTATGTTCATGAGTTGGAAGACTGAATGTTGTTGTCAATTCTGCCACAACTGATCAACAGATTCAATGTAATCCAATCAAAATGTCAGCAGGACTTTTTTTATAAAAATTGACAAGCTGGTTTGTAAAATTTATATATATGGAAAGACAAAGGAACTGAAAGAGACAAAACAAATTTTTAAGAACAATGGTAAAAGACTCATACTACCTAATTTCAAGATTTACTATAAAGCTATTGTATCAAGTCAGTGTGATATTGGTGAAAGGACAGACATATAGATCAAAGAAAGATCCCACGTACAGACCGGTTCCCGCTCACTGGCTGAGCGAGGCGCGGGAGCAACACCGAGGGTTGCGATCCCGTTGCCAGTCCCGGTCCGGTACGGGAGCGACACTGAGGGTTGCGATCCGTTGCCGGACACGGAAAAAAGAAAAAAAAAAAAAAAGAACAAGGCAAGAATGCCTGTTCTCACCAATCTTATCCAACATCACAAAGCAAGTGGGAAAAAAGCATAGAGTGGGAAGGAGAAAATAGCAGTATCTCTATCTGCAGAGGACACAGTTATCTAGACAGAAAGAATCTACAAAAAAACCCAACAACTTCCAGAATAAGTGAGTTTAGCAAGGTTGCAAAAAAGTCAATATATATTTTTAAAATCTTATGTCTAAATATGGATAGTGAAAAATGGAAAATTGAAATTTTATAAGTTCCATTTAAAACTAAAAAACATGCAATGCTCAGTTATACTAAGGTATACGACATACTTAGGTATAAATCTAATGAAGCATGTGCAAGATCTGTATCCTGAAAACTACAAAACACTGAGGAAAGAAATCTAAGACGTATATAAATAGACAAATTATGTTCATGAGTTGGAAGACTGAATGTTGTTGTCAATTCTGCCACAACTGATCAACAGATTCAATGTAATCCAATCAAAATGTCAGCAGGACTTTTTTTATAAAAATTGACAAGCTGGTTTGTAAAATTTATATATATGGAAAGACAAAGGAACTGAAAGAGACAAAACAAATTTTTAAGAACAATGGTAAAAGACTCATACTACCTAATTTCAAGATTTACTATAAAGCTATTGTATCAAGTCAGTGTGATATTGGTGAAAGGACAGACATATAGATCAAAGAAAGAGAATCCTGGAATAGACCTTTGTTGACTTTTAACAAAGGTACCAAAGCAATTCAATGGAGAAATAGTCTTCTCAACAAACAGTGCTGCAACAATTGGATATGCACATGTAAAAGGATAAACCTCAATATATACCTTGCACCACATATAAAAATTAACTCAAACTAGAACACAGGCTGAGAGAAAAAAATTGCAAATCACATATCCAATGAAGGACGTGTAACTTGCATCCAGAAAGGACAAAGACTCACAAAACTGAGTAATAAGAAAAGGAACTATTCAGTTTTTAAAAAATGGTCAAAAGATTTAGACACTTTGCCAAAAACATACAAGTGCCAAATAAGCACATTGAAACATGCATTAGGGAAATGCAATTTAAAACCATAATGAGATACCACTACACACCTATTGGAGAGACAATTTAATAAAAACCAACAATACCAAGTGCTAACAAGGATTAGAAATAACTGGAATTCATCCATTACTGGTAGATATGCAAAATGGCACAGCCACTTTGGAAAACAGTTTGGTAATTTCTTATAAACAAACATACATCTACTACATGACCCATCAATTCTAATCTTAGCATTGACTCAGTAAAATGAAAACTTATGCTCATACAAAAGCCTGTATACAAATGTGTACAATCTCTTAATGGCCAAAAACTGAAAACAATCTAAAAGGCCTTCGAATGGTGAATGAACAAACAGGTTGTGGAACATGCACTAAAAAGGACTGAATGAATCTCAAATGCATTAGGCTGTTGAAAGAAGTCACACCCCAAAGACTAAATTGTGGATTATATGACATTCTGGAAATGGCAACACTACAGTGTTTGTTCCTAGCATTTATTCATTTTTGGCTATAGTGAAGGATAATTGGTAATACATTAGAAAGCTACTGATATTTGTACATTTTTAAGCTAGTCAATCTATGAAACCACTGTTTTACCCCTTCCCTAATCCTTTCCCTCTGTATGCCCTCACCCTTTTAGTTTTCTTCATAGCACTCATCATATTGTGATATCGTCCATCTTTATTTTTTTTTCCCCAATGAGATAACAGTTCTCTAACAATGTCACTAGGAGGGTTTTACTACATCTTACAGCTTCACAGGATGGAGAGTGATATTTCCTACTCTCTATATTTCCAAATTAGAAGATTCGATACATATGTACAAGACAACTAAAATTCATATAAAACATTCCTTTTCTTGACATAAAATGTTCTTTGTCCCTTTTTTGCTTTGAAGTCTACTTTAGACTGACGTTACTTTTTTGTATGCAATTGGCTATCTGTCCATCCTTGTACTTTTACTTTTTGCTACTTTGTTTGAGATGTCTTTCTTGTAAATGGAATATGATTCTATTAGGCTCCCTCTTATATACAAGGGTGTTACAAGTATTTACATTTATCGTTATAATTGCCATATTTGGTGTTATATGTTTTCTGACTTTTTAAAGTCTTCCTTGACATTTCTTTTTGAGATGACTTGTTTTCCTTGCTTTTATTTCTCCTAATGTAGGAAACTTGGACTCAGTTTCAAAATTTTTCCAAAAAATCCTTCGATCTACATTTTTGAGGTTTACACCTAGATGTATATCAATATTATTCTTAAGATGCTAATTCTTAAAACAAAAGGGAGGGATAGAATATATGCCTATTTATTCAAAATATTACTCAGGGTGTCAGACATCCTTCAACATGGCTGATTAGCATTTTGCTATATGGATGAGCCATTCTTTAACTCATTACTTATTGATATAATAATTGGTTGTTTCTAGCGTTTCTAAAGAAGCTACCAGAGTTTATCCTCCACCCAAAATAACAGCATGAGATCCATTAATTAAGAAATACAGCCAAGGAAAGAAAAAAAAAAAAAATTCTAGTGTGTGGATGAGGGCAAGTCTGAAGACCTGCAAGGCAACATGGATGAGCTTAGAGAAAATCATGTCGAGTAAAATAAGCCAGTTATTGGTGGCCTACTATCTAATTTATACCAAGTTTCTAAATGTGCTTTCTGTGTAATGGCAGTCCTATTATATATACATTTTTCAACATAAGCTTGCTAAATTGTGTTAAATTACATTCCTTATATTCTTTTCATCCCTACTTAGTACATCAAATTCTGAGAGAAGCATGTTAAAGCTCTCTCTATTATCATGGTTCATTTTCCTTGTAGTTCTATTGTTTTAAATATTTGATGCAGTGTCAATGCGTATATATATGTGTCTCTCCTAGATGCCCATGCCATACTATTTCTATCTTAAATCTCCAATCTCTCCTCCTTCCTCATTCTCATCTGAATCCTTACTTATATTCCCATGAGAAAACAGATGCATTTTCACAAGCTCTGTCATACTATTTCTATCTTAAATCTCCAATCTCTCCTCCTTCTTCATTCTCATCTGAATCCTTACTTATATTCCCATGAGAAAACAGATGCATTTTCACAAGCTCCCACCACTAACCCTCTCTACCCACCTACCTGGAGATAATGTTTCAAAAATCTGGCTATGAAGAGAAGAAGGGCTATGGAACAGAAAACTTTCTTTTTTAAAGTAATGGGGAAAACTTTAACATATTTAATGCTATCTTAGGAGAAAGAGAGGTAGAAGATGCTGTCAGAACTAGAATAATCAACACTGTGAGATTCCTGAGAAGGCTGAGAGGATGTGATTGATATCAGAGATGAAGGAATTGGTAAGACTGGCCTTTGACAGGAGTGGATACAAGAAAGGAGGGTTTGTAAATCTGGTTCAGGAAGCCGGGCAGTTCCTCCCTGGTGGCTTCCAATTTCTCTATAGAATGGGAAGCAAGCCATCAACTGGGGAGTACAGGGACACATAGGAACCCAGAGACCCAAACCACGCAGAGATTTGGAAGTCATTATGGAGAGTGGGGTGATCATCTCACTAGAGAAACAAGGTAGGATTAGCACGTCATGTTGAGAGTAGAATCGGGGCTCATGGTCATGAAATTACAGTAGTATTGATCTGTTCAGTTGTGTGAATACAACTCCAGAAAGCATCAGCAACCCAAGAAAGAGTATTAAAAAAGACAAATATTTTGATTAATCTAGCATGAGAATTTTGCCAAAGAGGTACAACAAAAGAAAAATAGGACAAGAGATTTAGGATATGGATAGAAGACTGTTGAAAAAAATAAAGACCATGAAATTTAAACTGAGGAAGAAAGTGAAGGAGTATTGTTTAATACGCAGAGGGGAAGTAGAACAACTAGTGGGCTGAGAATGCACCTGGAAGCAAAGAACACGTTTAGGAAAGTTTTTGATTGGACTGCCACTATGGAAGAATATTGTAATAATATCTGAAAAATTATATGAAAAATCGGGCAATTCTAAAAGATGACAAAGTCTAGAGCATCACCATAGAAGTTAGTGGCATAAGTAAGAGAAGAAGGAAAAGAAGGACATAAGAGATCAAGGAGCTGGTTTGATCACTACATTCTGGCTTTCAAAAAATGCCTAAAGCCATGGTTCAAATGAATGACTCTTCAAATTTATATTTCATTCTGATCCAAAAGAACACAATAAAAATCAACCAACTCAGTACATGCTTTTTTAACTTTTGTTGTCTCCTTTAGTATGCACTTAAATCACAAATAATACTTTATAATCTTTTATTCCCCAACGAAGCATCCATCTTTCCTATTATTCTTCCTGTTGGTTTTAAAACCTACTATAATAGAGCTTTAGTTGTACTGGCTTGTGGTGGGGATCAAATGTACATAAAAATTAGATGCTTTTTAATATAAAAATTTATATGAAGTATTATTATGAAGTATTGTACTTACGAGCTTCCTACAGTAAGTGGCCACGTTGTCTATTCTAATCCTAACAACTCATAATTTTTCTACAAATAACATTAACTTTTCCTTTTACTTTTATTTTAAATCTTTTTATAAAAAAGAAAATTAAAACCCTTTTTTAGATGAGATTGAGACATTTAAAAACACTATTTACATTTAAGAAATTCTGAATATTCCAATTACCTTGAAGCATGCATCTGTAAGCAGACTCAGATATAGCATAGATGTGTGGAGGCATCTCATGACGTTTCTTCCCTCTGTACATTTCAATAATATTCTCAGAGTAAATTGGAAGATTCTTGTAAGGATTTATGACTACACAGAAGAGTCCAGAATAAGTCTAAAATGAAAATAAAATACAGTGTTAAAAAACAAATAGAAAAAAACCCCCTGCATTTATCTGTCTGGGTCCAATCAGGAGACAGAACCCACAGTCATTTAAACAGCAGATCTTTATCCTTTGGATGATTACTTTATCCCCAAAATTAAATCTAGCCCATAATGGGCAATTTACTACTGTGAACCACAGGTAGTTCTCCTACAGTAAATAGCATTCTCTGGACTCAGTTTCCTCATCTGTAAAATAATGTGTGCTTCATGACTTCACAGGGCTACTGTAAGGTTCAAACATGTCATTTGCCTTTTCACATTCATTCTCTCACAAGTGTACTTGTACAAGGTATGAAAACCTCATTAATGTAGTTTCAGATTTCACATTGCAACTAATTAAGAAAATACAAGCTGTCAAGTTTGGGTATAGTATCAAAAAAGAATATCCACAGTTATCTGAAAAGGCTATGAAAACACTCCTCCTTTTTCCAACTAAATATCTGTGTAAGCTGGATTTCCTTCATGTACTTCAACCAAAACAACATATTACACCAAATTAAATGCAGAAGCAGATATGAGAATCCAGCTATCTTTTGTTAAGATATGTTAAGAGATTTGCAAAAATGTGAAAGTTTCCATTCTTATAATTTTTTTTTTGGAAAATATAGTTTTTTTTATTTTTATTTTTATTTTATTTTTTTCCTTTTTGTCTTTTTTCGTGTCCGGCAACGGACCGCAACCCTCAGTGTCGCGCCCGCACTGGACCGGGACCGGCAACGGGATCGCAACCCTCAGTGCTGCACCCGCCCCTCGCTCAGCCAATGAGCAGGAACCGGTCTGTATGTGGGATCTGAACCCTCGGCGGGAGCGCTGCTGCACTCCCAAGCGGCGCACTGTAGCAGTGCGCCACCGGGCCAGCCCGGAAAATATAGTTTTTTTCATAAAAAAATATATTAACTTGTTATGGGCTTACTATTATTTTTTTAAATGAATTAATAAACACAAAATTTTTGTTTTCATTTCTAATACAGTAAATATCAATAAATATAATTCACATAAACAAAAGGTCCTTGGTATCCTCAACATTTTAAGAGCTACTATTCTAGAAGATACAAACCTATCCTGATCAATACACTCATCATTATTCAGAATTCACACTATGAACACTTATGACTTTTTAAATTTATATAGAATGATTTCTGAAAAAATTCTACAGAACTGACTCTGGGAACTGTGGAAAAACAAGAGCAGTTAGGACTGCTGCCAGATGCTCCAGCCCTGTGAGGGACTGAAGGCATCTGGAAAGGATGCTCAGTTGCATTATGAAACAGAACTTTTATTTAAGGTGATTTGGGTAGACAAAAGTCTAAAAAGCAAGAGAACACTAAAAAGGCTGGAGGATTGGAAGCGTTTGGCTACATGGCCAACTTCCCAAGGGAACACTAAGGAGGCTTCAAACTAACAGCTGTGTTCATAAGGGCTGACACCCTTGGCAATTACCACCAGAAAGCCCGCTAGGGACCACTCTATTTTGAACACTGCAGTTACTAACACTAGAAAAAGAGAACGAGAGACTGCCCCAAAAATGCAAGTGTTCAGAAACATCTCTCTAGCTGTTTTCCTTGTATCTTTCCTCGACTCACAATTGCAGGCTCAGAGGTGGAATGCGCTTCCTACCTAGATTAGAGGTTTAGAAGGGGACAAAAGACAAAAAGCACCTGCTCTAAGTTCACTGATTTAGGCTGTTTGCTAATGCCTTACTTCTGAGCAGACCAGATGGACATCTATCCCTCGTTTGCCTGAAGCCAGATTAATTACTTGTGGACTGCTCAGGCCTTTGGACTCTTGGCTTTCCTGTACTCACAGTGCAAATTTCAGACAACCTTGGCTTCCCAGACCACCATCTTGCACTTTTTCCCAATCAGGTATCTCATCTACCTAGTCCAGTCTCTCTCTGCAGCCCATATGAAAAAAAGGCAATGACAGACAATGAAAGTAGACTTGATTAAGGGTGAAAAAAACCAAGAAGCAACCTCATACTTTTTTATCGAGTTTCACTTATATACAACAAATCATAACAATATACTAATGAAGTTTTATACAGACCACCTCACTTTTTTCATTCAAAAATTAGGTCACAGTCTATCACGAAGCTACAAATTCTGCACTTCATTTTTAAAAAGGCAAAAAAAGAAAAACAACAAAAACTCCAAGAAAGTTAAAATATGCAAATTTGCTTAACATCCACAGCATGTATAGCATAGTAACAGATCATTAACAATGGCATATTTAATCAGAAATAATTCCAACATGTGTATCTACCATGTGTTAGGCACTTTTCTGAGGACTAGGATTACAAAGATGAGTAAGTATCACAAATATGAGTAAGTCATCAAAAAACAAAAGGTTGAACAATCATCAGTATCCCATGCTTGCTAAAGAGGAGCAAAAATAAATGCTTAAGTGGAAATATTATTAAAGTGCTTAAAGAGCTAACTTCTAACTACCTAAAAAATTAGCTCAAATATTGGGTTCCTGCATAAACTGATCACTGAACTGATATCTGCTACTTTTGTCTTGCCCAAGTACGTAGTAAGAAGGCAATATGTGGTTAAAATAATTTTGCTACAGACCTTAAAGTTCAAATTAAACTGTGTTAAGTATTTGACTACATACACAAGACATTAAGCACCTTCAAGAAACATACACTCTAGGTAGGAGGACAATAGATACACACTAAACAAACAAGTCACAATAAAAGGCACTAAAAAGAGAAAGACAAACAGATATAATAAGTAGTACAGAGAGCTCTCGGGCAGAACACACAAGAAACCTTGGCACTGAAAATCATGCCATCTTGTGAGAAACTATAAAACTAGGGACAAAATCCAGATCACATGGCCTTTGATGTTCTTTTAAAAGACTATCAGGTCAAATGAAGTGATAAAGGAATTCCTACTAAAATAGTAAGTGCAAAACACTCTTCTGGTGGCAGGATAAATCCAAGGCAGTGTGAGAAGTCCAGTCTAGCTGAAAATAGTTTGTATCATGGAATGTGAGTGATAAGAGCCTAGAAAGCCAAACTGAACAGTTTAGATTTTGTCATGTACAGGCGATGAGGTATTAGAGGCTCAGGTGAGAAGAGAGATTGGAGGAAAGAAGCATTTTAGACAGTATAAATCTGGCAGCCAAATGGAACATAGATTGAAGGGGCAAGAGGTGAGAAGCAGGAAGACAAGCAGACACTGCTCGATGGTCTTGGCACAACAACAGGGCTTAGATGAGAGAAGAGGCAACACGAAGCAGAGAAAGGATGAGTCATGGAGAAAGCTGGATGGAGACTTAGTACTCAGAAACTCTCAATACAGAAAAGCTGCTGAAGACCTAAGTCAAAGTGGACTGCAAGGTTCTCAAGCTTTAGAGACTGAAACAGTTACTGACAGAAGGGAAAAATAATTTGATTTGGGAGAAAATGAATCTCCTTTTAACATATTGAGATTGTGGTGTGGTAGGTGAACCAAGTAGGATTATGCCCAGTAAGCAATTGGAAATAATGAATTGCCAGAGCCATGCGAAAATGAAGAATTGCAAAGGCTTGAGGAATAGTTTGTATAATAACGTTATGTATACTCTACCTAAGAGAGACAAACAAAAATATTTGCACACACAAAAAGTTTTCAATTTTTCCAACATGTTACGCTGCTTTATGCCCCTAGGCTTCTATCTACGTTTACCACTCTGCCTGGAATGCACATCCTCTTCTGTCTTCTACTGGGGAATTTTACTCGTCCTTTAAGTGCAAGGCCTCTGTTTAAGAAAGCAGGGATGTGTCTATGCATTGTTTCATAGGTTCAAAGGATTACAGAACTGGGAAATGGAAGCAGGTGCAGATGCCAATGCAATGGAGCACAGATATAACAGTCTCCTATAGGAACAGGGGATTGAACTGGGAACATCACATAACCCTACACCCCTACTGTAGCTCTCAGAAGAAATCAGACCACCACCCAAAAGGAAAGGGAGGAAAGCATAATTCACCTGTACCATCTGCAAGCACTACACCTAGATAAAATTCATATGGTATTAAAAATGAAAACAAAACCCTATGTAATAAGGAACAGATAATCATCCAGAGAATTCAGAGAAAGAAATTATTCTATATGGAAACTGTCTACAAAATAAGCTAAAAGAAAATTTTAGGGAATAGATTTATTTCTGCAACAGAATGGAGTATAACGTGGACTCTACATATCACAACAGAAAAGACTGTAAGGAATCATCTGAAATAATAAAGTTAAAATCTATAGTGGAGAAAATAAAGAGCAGAATGCATACTTCAGGAAATCAAGTGGTAAGAGTAGATGCATTTATTCTGGGAGAGCATCCTTCTTAAAGAAAAATAATAAAAGAAAAAGAAATTGCAAAGGTAAAACAAATAAAAAATAATAATACATAGAGGGCAGATGAATATGGAGGTCAGAGGAAGGATAACTAAAATATCAATTGTCATTGCTCCTTTGGGGGAAAAAAGGCCAAAACTCTGTAAGTTTATATATATATATATATTTAAACTTGGAAGAAAATTTTGTATGTGGAGGAAATACATATTGAGTTAAGAAAGAATTCACCAGGCTAACAAATGCAGAAGAATTGATGGCATTAGACTCACCACTTTGCAGCCCTGATGAAATAATGGATCTGAACAGTGTTCATCACTGGCTGCTAAAATCCTTAGAGGACTGGCAGATGAGGACACTCCTAATGCACAAACCGGGCTGGCAAAACCTAACCTGAACTCACTGATCAATCTCAACATCATAAAGTGAGAGACAATTTGGCATTAGGTGTTTCCTGAAACTGAATCTGTGTAAGACTCTGGATCCAACTACCAGTTTATAGGAAGCACCACAGGAATATAATCAACAAAATCCAGAACATGGGAAATTCTACAATATATCTGACACCATTTCTTCAAATAAAAAAAGAAAGAGGGGAAACACACGATTAGAG